ACCTAGCTGTTTTGCTCCTGGGTATACCTAACAAATACATGCATATGTTTTCCATAAAGGCATGTACTCTGATTTCATACTCTGTTCATAATATACCCAAACTAGAAGCAATCCAAATGCCTATCAGTGAAAAATCGATAAATAAATTATAGTATATTCATGTACGTGTCACGTACTATGTAGCAGTGGGAATGAATGATCTACATCTATGTGCAGTAGTATGGATGAATCTCACCCTCATATTACTGAATGAAAGAAGCCATAAACTAGAGAGATCATATTTTATAATTCCATTTATATAAAATTCCAAATCAGGCAAAACTAATCAATCGGAGATGGGTAGTGACTGGAGGGGGCATAAATTACTAAGGTTCTGTTTTTTGAAATAAGTGCTAGTTACCCATGGGCATTCAATTTGTGAAAATTCATCAAGCTGTACGTTCATGATTTTTGTTCTTTTATGTATATGCATACATGAATATATATGTATGTGATACTACCCAAAAGTATTGTTTCAAGGTCTGTGCATCTAGTTTATTTCATTTCAACTCTGGTTTATGAACAGACCATAGTTGACTTACTGATTCCCTCATTGAACTTCTACATTGTTTCCAGTTTTGCTCTGTTTCAAATAATGCTGTAGATAGCATTTTAACATGGCTTCTTGTGAAAATATATGAGGGTTTCTCTAAGACCTCTAGAGGTGGCACTGCTGTATCCTAAGGTATGCCCATTTTCAGCTGTTCTCCAAAATGGTTGTATGTAGGAGTGATGGAGAGTTCTCTTTGCTATTTATACTTGTCATCAGTTGATACTGTCAGGCTTGAATTTGATTTTTTTATGGATGTGAAGTGGTATCTCATTTGTATTTTAATTTGTACTATATGATGAGTAGTATATTTGAGGATCTTTCCACATATTTATAGGCCACATGGATTTCCTAGAGTATTTTTTTTACCCATTTTTAAAATGGGTAAAATTATCTATTTGTATTTATTGCACATTTTTCTAATAATTAGTTTTATATTTTTCTTCTCAACTTATGTGTAATTTGCCTTGATTCTCAAAGTCCATATGTTCAGAAAGGCCTCCCTTTGTGATTTTAAGTCATTGTTAGAATTTCATTTGTAGACTTTAGATTTGGGGTAATTCAACTCTCCTGAGAATGTTTCTCATTCAGGCTTTTTATTTTTTCCCTGTCCCTGGTTGCCTGCCACTGCTCCATATTTCACTAGTGCGTTTCAGCTATAGGGCATATTCTCCCCCTTCCTTGGTGATGAGGGAGGGTGGTAGTGATGTGGGGAAGGGGAAATAGTGAGAAACAGAAAAATGAATACAAATTTGACAGGTTTATAAAATTGATACAGCTATGTGTAAAATATGCTCATGACCCTTCTTGGCTTTTTGTCTTTTACTTGAAGTACATTCTAAATCTAGCGTTGTACAGTTGATAATCAGATAATGCTCATCATTACCTGATTAGGAGTGTGTGTGTGTGTGTGTGTGTGTGTGTATGATCATTATCTGATTAGTTGTGTGTATAATAGTTTGGGGTCTATTGTTGTCCTATCCACCATTTATATATGTGGTCCCTGCAGTGCTCTTACCTACTGGATTCTTGAGACAGTTCTGCACATCCATTACTTTTCAGAGCAACTGCATTAACAGTTGAGACCCTCTTCCTGCAGTGCCACTGGGGCTTTGGTGTTTATCATCTGGCAGGGTGTGGTGATAGTAGCCAGGGCTTGCAGTTCCTGCGCTGTTTTGCAAGTGTTACAGAACCTTTGAGGTTACAGAATCTTTCTCAGAGAATATCCTGGCCCAGCTTTCTTCAAAAGACCTTCCTTATTGCCTCTGAGCTCTGCCTTAAGTAGGATCGATGCCAAAGGAAAAGCTCATGACTCTTGGCCACGGACACAACATTTTGGCTGATCTTGATCCTGGAATCTTGGCAGCAGACTGTCTTGGCATGAGTCTTTTGGAGAGAGGTGCCAGTTTAGCTGAGCTTTACTAGGAACTCTCTTCTTAGAACTGAATCTGATTTTATTTTTTCAATGGTTTGATATAAGTCAATGAAGAAACTTAAGTTCTTAAGTCAGTATAGCATGACTTCAGTCTCTAGTTTATCAGGTTCAGAAATCTTTGAGGTGAGAAATAGAAAGGGAAGGGTATAAGCAATACAGTTATGTCTTGCTTTATGAGGAAAGTAGTATAAACTCTGGTGATTAATTTGGAAGTGATAATTTTAAAATGTGTTCTGTATTTTAAAGAAAACTCCAATATTTGTATAAGTCCCTGAATATGCTGATCCCAGGTTTCATTTTTATTTTTTAAAATTTTATAAATGATAAGGATTTTTGTTTTCCTAAGCACTGTGTCACAGTTAAAATATTATTAATAATTCCAGTAACATATATTTCAAATTTTCCTGATCGTTTCAAAAATCTTTGCTTTTGATTGTTTTATCTGTTACTCTCTAGTAGTTCCACCAACCCTCCCCACTCCCACTCTTTGCTTTCTCATGCCATTAATTTATTGCAGAAACCAGGTCATCTGTCTTGTAGTGTCCCATATTCTGTATTTGACTGATTGCTCCCTGTGCACTTGATCCTGTATCCTCAGTAGTCCCTGTAAACTGGTGGTTAGAACTGAGGGCTTGGTTAGATTCAAGTTCAACCTTTCCTCCCCTTTCCCTTTTTCCTCCCTTCCGATGTTATGTACTTAGTGTTGTATCACATCATGAGACACATACTGTCTGGTTGTCCCCATTTTCTTATACTAAGACTGATGTGTGGATCTGTTGGTACAGAGGTGCCCATTAGAATCACTTTAAAGCTTTCTAAAATCCTCAAGAATCTTAGGTTCAGGTTTGAGAGGGATGGTAGATTCATGTATTAAAGCATGCAGGAAACTCCAAAACTTTACTACCTTTACTCAGATGTAGTAAGAATCAGTATCTTTAATACCTTTACTATGTAATTAGAGTAACAAAATTTACTTTTAAGCAGATGCTTTGGGACTGTGTGTTTTGTATAAAATGAAACATATTTAAAGTGATTAACTGTGGAGATGTTTGAGGCTACTGTGGTGTAATAGAAAAAACACTGACTTGGACCCAAGAGGTCAAATCGTTACTTTGTCTGAGACCACTTTTTTTCAAGTCTAGAAAATAGGAACCCCAAGATAAATCATAGGGTTGTTTAATGATTAAATGAAATGATTTATTCGGAAGCAGTCCAGTACCTGGTGGTGAGTTATATTGAAATCTGAAAAGCATTACAGGGATAGATTTTTTTAATTGAGATCTTCAGAGTAAAGCTTAAGAAAACTGAAGTAACAATATCTTATATGCTATTTATATATATATATATATATATATATATATATATATATATATATATATATATGTATACTTCTGTTTTTGAGCTTGTTTTTTGAGTAATAGGAGACTCAATGAGTCATGATGTAGTTTTAATATGAGTGTAATTAATTAACATTAATGTGGGCCTTTTGGAAGAAATAGTGTGTGGAAATCTTATTTTTTTTCCCCCTTTACTTTCAGCTCCATTTACCTCTTAATTCTCCTTTGCCTGGAAGTGAATTGACCAAGGAACCTTTTCGTTGGGATCAGAGACTCTTTGCATTAGTGTTGCGGTTGCCTGGCACGATGTCGGTAGAATCAGAGCAGTTGACAGGTGTGCCTTTAGATGACTCTGCAATCACACCAATGTGTGAAGTGACAGGGGGTAAGTTTTTTGCTGGTAGTACTTCAGTGACTTAAAGCAGGGTTTACATGAATGTTTTAAAAATGTGCATATCAAAAACTCCATGTTTGTTTTTGTTTAACAAGTTCATAGAAGTTAGTAGACATACATGGTTTTAAAACTACTTTGATGAAAGTCATTCATCTGATTTGAACTACTGGATCTGATAATGAGTGGTAATTTTTTCCCAACCTATAGAAAATGCAGGTAGTTGAAATTATTTAACTTATTTTCTTAACTACAGAGATTGCCAGTGATTTACAGAATGCTATAGGATTATTTTTTGAAAATGTTTTGAGAATCGTCTCATTATCCATGTCATGATTAATGCATGGTTAAATACAGTTTTCCCCAGAGGCAAAGAGGAAGCTAGATAGGTTAGAGGAAGCAGATAGTGAACTCTTAACCAGGTAGTCACTGTGCTAGTGAATATTAGTGACACTCTTGAAATAGAATATGTAATAGACTCAGGATTTACTATAATGTGGTTGGTTAATAGGTGGGTTACATTCATATGAATAAGTATTGGGTGCTTACTGTGTACCAGGCACTGTTTTGTGCTGTAGGACTTCCATAGGGAAAATGACACATGGTATTCTTGCTTTCATGGCATATTTTAGTTCTCATTTAAGGAATCTGATACTAAAATGTCCAAGTCTGGCATACCACCATTTCACCTGTGTCAGAGGCCTGTGACATAGTCTCCATCCACTGTCAGGGCTCTATTGCAATTCTGTCAGAGCCAGCTACACATGTTAAAGGAAAATAGAAGGTCTAATTAATACTTTAGGTGCCTTTCTTCTAAAATTCTTTGGGTTTTGGAAACCTGCAAATTTCACAGGCAGAAAGGGCATCCGACACAGGTATGTGAAATAGATAAATTAGGAGAAAATTCTGAAATCACCATCGGTAATATCTTTCAGTGTCCCAGAAACCTTAGTTGGTCAAGAAATTAGGGAGCTTTCCCTAACATACATCCTGAATCTCTCCTGGTGTAGTGATTTATTTGCCTCTTTTCCTGCTCTTGCTGGCAATAATGGGAAGCTACTCAGATGCCACTCACCTTGTCATATATGTGAATAATATGTTTTCTTCTTTAGTTTAACAGAATGTTGACTTAAAAAAGTTTTGAGGCTGAAACACTAGAAAAGTGGAAAGAACAGAAAAACTGTTGTCCACTGGTATCACACTATCCAAATATGCAATCACTGCTAACAATTTTGTGCATTTTTAACTGTAATGATAAGAATAGTATGTGTACATTTATTTTTCCAATTACAGAGTAATTCATATTCATTAAGGAAGAATTGGGAAGAAATTTGCCTGTGTTGCCAAAATAATTGATTAATATCTTGTTATATTTTTAATGTATATCTTCAAAAAATTGAGTAATTGTCATTGTAAGCACTTTTATTAGGTAATTAATGAGTACCCACTCTGTTTACTGTTTTTGATGCTGGGAATACAGCAGAAACAATAGACAGAAAGCTTACATTTTTGGACTTTGTGACTGATAAGATCATGTAAAATGAATAAATAATATTTTGGGGAGCGCTAGTTACTATAAAGAAAAAAATAGGGTAAGGATGCAGAGAGCAACCTGAGGCAGAGAGTGAGTATTCCAAGAAGGCTTCTGAGGAGGTGACTTTTTTTAAAAACCATAAACCTAAAGCATATGCTTACTCTAGTTTAAATCAATGTAAATATTGCATCCTTGAAGATTATTATACTCCTTGTCTAAAGAAGTAGGTAAGACAACAATTACTCTTTTATAAATTATATTTGCGTATCTTTAACCTTGATGTTTAAAGTCACATGTTTGAATAGGGATTACATCGGCCCTGGTTGTATCTTATAATCCCTCTAAAATTATTGTTACAGCATGTTCATCAACCCTCTTTTTAAAAAAAATATAATTGACATATACAACATTATTTTAGTTCTAGGTGTACAACATAATGATTTGATATTTTTACATATTGTGAAATGATCACAACAGTAAGTCTAGTTAGCATTTAAGCAGAGATCTGAATGATGGAGTAAACCATACAAAGACCTAGGTAGAGGCTCTACATTTTGGGAGCAAACTGGCTGAAAGCTTATGTAGGGAGAAGTAGAGAATAATAGGTTGGTTTAGAGAGGGAGGCAAGGGCCAAATATTGAATAGCCTTTTAGGCCACAATAAATTTTTTTTTTCCCCAAGTGTGATGAGAAGCCTTTGGAGGGCTTTTCATAGGAGGTGACATCTGATCTCTGTTTCTGAAAGATCACTTCAGTTGCTAGATGAGAATAGGCTGTAGAGTGGGAGAATATAAGTGGGGAGACTGGTAAGAGATGATAGCACTTTGATCTAAAGTGCTAGGTTTGGAGGTGATAAGAGGGCTGATGCAAAGGAGAACTAATGCTGATGGAAACTAGGGGAGAGGAATCAAGGATGATTCCTCTGATTCAATTGGCCTGGACAATTGGAGGTAAATGGCACTGAGATGGGTACTCTGGGGAACAGCAGATTTGGGGGGAGGTGCAGGGATGATACCAAATTTTAAAATGCCTAGTGGACATGTTGGTGGAAGTATTGAGGATAAAAAGCATTTTATAAAATTGTAAGACTTTTCTAGATTAAATAAATTTAACTTTCTTAGCCTCTGTAAGGACTGTTGCCCAATTTAGACATGTTCCTTTTGTCTCTTCTCCATTTTACTAAAATGCTAATCTAGTATACTTCGTGGGAAAGTCTTTTCCCCCACTTTACTGCCTTCAGACTCACTAGATTTAGATTTTTTTTGTGAACCCTACATAACCACAAATGAGCCAGCTTCTTGACTCGAACGTGTGTGCTTTTTCTCACAAATATAATTAGTGATCCCCAAAACTATTTATGCTTCAATACAAAGTGTCATACATTCCAAGGGGTGAGTTTTGACCTAAAGAATAAGAGAAACATGACATAGGTTAATAGGTTCACTTTTTAAAGATGGCAAATTTTGTTCTTTCAAAAGAATTAATGGATTTTTTATTATTTTCTAAGTACCTCAAGTTTATTCACTTTTCCTCTAATTTTCACGAAATGTCTCTGTTAGTAATTTTGTTTCATACTAACTTACTTATATTTTCCTAATCAATTAGTTGATGACGCAGGTTAGGGAAGTAAGAGGATTGTCACCATTTTATACTTAAAAACTTTTTTTAAAACTTTTTTTTTGTTTAGTTGTTTTTTGTTTTTCTTGTTTGTTTGTTTGTAGGGGGAGGTAATTAGGTTTATTTATTTATTTGGTTTTTTCAGTGGAGGTACTGGGGATTGAACCCATGACCTTGTGCATGCTAAGCATGCACTCTACCATTTGAGCTATATCCTCCCCCAAAAACTTGTATTTTAATGGCATCTTGGGAATATGCTGAATTATCATGAAATAAGATACTGATATAAACTTCTAAATATAATCTTCATATAATCTTCTAAATACCTTGTGTGTTAAGATGGTCGGCTTTTTTATGTATTGTTTTATGTATGTGTTTAAATTGACTTGGAAAAAATATTTTAATTTGCCAGTTCTTTTAAATAGTGTAATTCCGTATAGACATTCTCTTTTAAATATTGATTTTAAATTAAAATCGTGATTTTCAGGAAACAAGGTATATCAGATTAAGTTTCTAATACCCTGTAAGGGTTTGAATCATGGCTGCACAAATGTACTAACTTGGATAAATTGGTTAACCTCTCCAGGTTTTAGTTTTCTCATTTATAAAATGGAGAAAGTAACCCATAGGGTTGTTGCTCGGCTTAGATAAATTAATGTAATGAAGTGATTAGAATGGTGCCAGTACATAAACACTTAGCAATTGACAGGTGTTTTTATGATTATGACTCTCATTGTCATATACAGGTAAGCTGTTTGTTATATGATACTTGTTTTTCTAAGTAAAGCTGACTCTGAGGATTTGAATCACATGCCTCATGTTCTTTTTTCTGAGTAACCTTCAGCAAATCACATGTTAAGTGTAAATTGATATGAGTAATTTGATATGTCACATATAATAATAGTATGTTTGGAACTAATTTGTTGAATTTGTAAAGGAGTAGCATTTTTCCATGTGAGCTTATTGCAAATAACCTTGTAAGATGTTTGATTAAAGACTGAATTTTAGTTGTCATGGTTTTCAGCACTGGTTTTGATCACACATACTAGAAATGTGATATGTTACATATGTAATTATAAATTTCATAGTAGTCACATCAAAAAGAAGTAAGTAAAATTAATGTCAGTAATTATTTAAAAATGTATACAAAATATTTCAGCATGAAATTGATATTTTAAAACAATTGAGGTATTTTACTTTATTTTCATATTAAGTCTACAAAATCAGGTGTATATTTTACAGTTACTGTATATATCAATTTTGACTAGCCATGTTTCAAGTTCTCAGTAGCCATATATAGCCAGTAGCTACAGTATGAGACAGCACAGGTCTAAATTTATTGAAAAACCCTGTTTAGGAAATCTTTTCATTGGTACTTTTTCTTAATCATTAACATTTTAATGTTTCTGAACCAAACATTTTATAGGTTAAGATATACAAGAGGGAAATTCACTTAAGATAGGTAATTTCCAAGTATGTAAGCCAAATGAATCTCAGAAAAGCACTTGCTACTATCTGTGTATTAAAGTGCAAATACTTAAAATATGCAGTAACTGCCAGCAGACCAGTTAAATAATTATTGAGTATCTACTGTGTCCTTAGCATTAATCTTAGTAATACTTCCGTTAAGCAGGAGAAAGATTTTTGGGGATTAGTTACCAGCTGTGGTGTATGTATATTGAAGATAAATTGTATTAGATAACAGTTGGAGATAGGTTTTTATATTTATATGTATTTAAAAATCACATTTTATATAATATATATACATAGTGATTTTTTTCATCATGTTTTGTTCAGCTCAGGATTTCTATTTTTTGTATACCTATAATTAGAAGAAAAAGTGTACATACTTTCACAAAATGGAACTGTTAATTGAAAATCATTGTTTTTGTTTCATCATTCCATCAGATAATGAAAAAGTCAAACTTTACCATTGAACTTTGTTAATCAGTCAAAAACCTCACTATGGTTCTTTCATGCTAAAAGTAGGAATTTCTGCAACTAACTAGTTCACTTTATTCTTTTTATTTCAGGCCGCTCGTACTCTGTATGTTCTCCAAGAATGCTTAATCAGTGTCTGGAGTCCTTGGTGCAGAAAGTGCAAAGTGGGGTAGTAATTAACTTTGAAAAAGCAGGACCAGATCCTTCCCCTGTAGAAGGTATTACTTTACATCTCTTACAGATATTTTAAACTTGCTCTACCTAGTATTCAACTAGTAATGAAAAATTACTATGATTTGGCCTTAACATTGATAAGGCCAAATTATTAAGATGACAAAATGGCTATTGGTAAAGAGGGAAGATTAAATAGGAAGGCCAAGGTAGTATGATAGTAGTTTAGCAGCATCACCTTTTTATGTTGGTTGTTCATAGCCTGAAGTTTATGAGCCCAAAACCTTTTTAAGCATTTACAGATTAGCATATTTCCTTTTTAGTATCACAATGTTGACTCTCTCCAGTATATATGCTTCTTCCATGTCCCTTAATTCACAAGAATGTTCTACCCTAGATGTTTATTTAATTCCTTGGCTACATTTTTTCTAAGGATCAAACTGGTCAGAATCAAATGGTTGATGTGGTTCC